AATGTGGGGTACCTCAAGGAAATGTTTCAGGGCCAACATTAAAACTATTACATATATAAACTATTTACTAAAAAATTAAACATGCGCAGATGACACCATGATAATATAACAAAGGCAAAACTAATCAGGTGAAAAAATGATCAAATGCGGGGTACCTCAAGGAACTCTTTCAGGGCCAATATTCAATTTATTAAATATAAATAATTTGCTAAAAAACTAAACAAAGAAGTGAATGTATTGAAGACAAAATTAAGCAGTTTTTGAAAAAATAAGTAACATGGTTAACAAATTAATAACTAGGTGTAACTGGCATGCCGCCCTGCGTCAAGTTGCACAATCAAGTGCAAAAAGCAACTTGATCAATAAAAATTGAGAATCAACAAAAATGAAAGCAGTCATTATTAAATTTATTCTTATTGATAATTTGTTATTACCTTGCTCATTGACCAAGCCATGAATATTACCAACACTGCCTGCCAAAGACCTCTTTGATTCCCGATTTAAATTTCCTCGTTCAACAGAAAGATTTGTGCCTTGAGGTTGAGTTGAACTGACATTATTCATTGCTGTACCTAAAAAATAATTGATAATGAACTAATTGAAGTAAATATGTGGGTAGTATACTTTATAGTTATTTTTTTTTCTTATTACCCTGTAATTGTTTTTCAACTTCCTCAGTGACACTCGATTCCTGGAACATATGCTCAAGAGCATGATGGATGCCTTCAAAACTAGGCCTGTCGTGCGTGTTCCATTGCCAACAAGCTCGCATTAGTTCGTAGATCTTTGGAGGACATCCTGGGGGACATTCCATTCTGTAACCCTACAATAAAAATAGATAAAAAATAGTGAAATTGACATAATAATTCATTTATTTATTTATATATTTATTCAACGCCCAAGGCAATAAATAATGATAATTATATAAATAAAATAATAAAGATAAGTTAACATTTATCCTTACCTTTTCCAACATATGATAAACATCCGTCAAGTCGACCCCTGGATACGGCGACATTCCGTAAGTAGCAATTTCCCAAAGGAGCACTCCGAAGGCCCACACATCACTTTTCGTAGAAAATTTATTATAAGCTAAGCCTTCGGGTGCTGTCCACTTTATGGGGAACTTGGCACCGGCATGTGCTGTGTACGTATCGTCTCTCATGAGACGAGCTAAACCAAAATCTGCTACTTTTACTAAATGGTTTTCGCCTACTAGACAATTGCGAGCAGCCAAATCCCTGAAAAAAGTGAATAATATGATACATAATCTTCTTATATATAAAATGAAGCTCGATATTATGTTAGATTCGCTAAAACTCGAAAACGGCTGAACCGATTTGACCAGTTTTAGTCTTGAAATATTAATTAAATATTAATTAATCCAAAGGTTGTGGGAAAGGTGAGAAATTATTTCAAAACGGCGTAGACACTTTACATTTTTAATTTAATTTTTTTTATAGAGGCGTGGTTTATAGTGAAACAATGGACGGCGACTCATACGTCAAATATCAAATGGTTTTTTGACAGATCATGTTCAATTAAATTTAATAGAATGTTTTAGATGAATATTAATTTTTTATAGTGACTAGTAATAAATATATATTGACCTTCTCGAAGGAGCAGTTTATGTTTTTGCGAAAAAATGCAATGCTTATCGATTTGCTAATTTTATGTTTTCTCGACGTTTCAGTCATTCTAAATCGAATGAGACCAAATTAGAAAAAAATATGTATGTGTGTACTGTGTATTTGAGTCGATTTTTGACCTTTCGTCAACGTTTCTCCAAAAACAGCTGGACTGATTTCAAAAGAGAGAATATTTAAAATTGTTTAAATAGCAAGAATATCAAATCTGGCGTACCTCAAGGAACAATTCCAGGACCTTATATATTTATTATATATACAAAATTTATTAAAATAATAGGTAGAGATATACAGTGTATGCAGATGGCACTGTGATATTGTAAATAAAATTAATGACAATATAAAAAAAATTATGAAATGTGGGGTAAAAGAATTATGAAATGTGGGGATGGGCAAGGAACCTTTTATTATCTTTGTATTTTTTTGTGGGATGACACAAGGAACACTATTATATTGATTATATATAAACAATTTTGATGAAACTTTGTATAATGATAGATTATAAAATATAAATATATAAATAAATAAATAAATTATTTACTCTGAAATAACATACTAAAATAATATAGGCCTGCGAATAGCGGTTCAATTTAAAATAAATCATCAAAGTTTATATTTCGCCGCGCGCTTGAACGATTCCAATCAGAATCTGTGCCGAAGCATTTAGTTTAGTAGATAGCTACTGATTACAGTTGACATCCACACTTAAATATAATACATATTTAGAACACGAAAGGGATAGAAAAACAAATTAATATGATGCATATAATTACAAATATTATAAGTATGTTTGAAAGACATCAATTGGAAATCGTTCCATTTATTTTTCAGTAAGGGGGCATCCATTAATCACGTGAGGCTTTTAGGAAGAGAGGGGGCTTGACAAAAAATCGTAAAATATCACGTAGAAAAAGATGGTGTGGAGTACAATATCACATGTATTTATTTGTTACCTAAATTTAAAAAAAAAAATCCGAATATGTTCAAAAAAATAAAAAAATTACGTTTTTTTTTGTTAACTAAAAATACACGTGATGTTTGATGGGGGAGGGGGGGTAATTTTGAATATCACCACATATCACCAAAGGGGTGGGGAGGTCCAAAAATCCTTAAAAAATCGATCACATGATTAATGGAATATTATTTTAGAGAAATAAACACTTGAATATTTTATCTAAATATCTGAATTTAAGACAAAATGCTACTCACTACTAGTTATTCCTTTATTCATTTATTATTACCTGTGGATGAAGCTCCTGCTCTCCAAGTAACTCATCCCACTAGCAATCTGTGTTGCAATATACATCAACACGACCGCATTAATTTGTTCCTTATTTCCATTTCGTAGATAATCGAGTAAATTTCCTCGACTCATGAATTCGGTTATAATATAAAAAGGTGGTTCTCTCGTACATACACCAATCAGTTGCACTAGATTTGGGTGCTTCATTTCTTTCATTATCGATGCTTCTTCTAAAAAGTCTTTTAGAGCCATCGTATCTTCTTTTAAAGTCTTCACAGCAACCTGGGGGAAGAAGAAAATAATTGTAAATAGAAAAAATTGTGAATTGTATACATGTGAATGCAAGTATATATATTTAACTTACTGTCATTGTGTATCTTTTCCAAACAGCTTCATAAACATCCCCATACTGTCCTCCCCCAAGTTTATGTTTCATTACAATAGCTGTCCTATTAATCTCCCATTCATCGGGCTCTGGACTCAATGGAAAAACTGTAGGCTTATCATGTTTAGGTGCAGGATACAGCAATTGGGTTATAAGACCATCAGCCAAAACTGAATGATGGTGCACCAGTTCTGCCAAAGTGTTAAATTTAGAATCGACGGTTACGTAGACTTTACAATCGGTGGGGTCTTCGTTGATTCTGTAATGGTACACTCTGCCTTCGTATCGAAGGGATATGGAACGTTGGCCTGGACTGCTTTCAGACTCCCGAACCTGGGTAAAGGATAGACTTTGTAAATAAATACAAGAAAATTTATAATAACCTAAAGGAGAAACAAACAAAGTATTAAATATGTGAAGAGCAGATAAAGTAAATCATAAATAGACAAAAAACAAATGCTGCACACCTGGAGATGATAAAACAGCAGAGTCAAATTCTTTCTATAAATATATGTATCAAAAATTGTTATTTTTGTAAATGTTTAAAATTAGCCATGATCAAGTCATCTTTAAAAACAGCAGATAAACTTGACACAAATAAAAATAGATCAATCATGGTAACAAAAATAAAGTATATTAAAAGGCAATTAAAAAAATAAGTCAAGAGTTTTTGACAGAAAACGAAAACCTAGACTAATATCAATATGGATAACATCATCAATTATGAATATAATTAACGATCATTTAGACATACTGTGGCACAGTTCATAGATCTAAAGAAAACCCTTTTTCCAAATTATTTTCCTGCAATTAAACAAATGGCGACTTAAATGTACTTCGCTAAATAAAATCCAAAAATTCGCACCACCAAGTCAGACAAGAGAGCATATTTAAAATTGTTTACATAGCAAGAATATCAAATATGGCGTACCCCAAAGAAAAGTTCTAGGGCCACTTATTTATTATATATAAACAATTTATTAAATTAATAGGTAAAGATATTATAGTGTGCGCCAATGACACAGTGATAATATTGATAATTGGAGATTAAATTAATGACGATTTAAAAAATTTAGACAAAAAATATTTTAAATGTGGGGTACCACAAGGAACAGTGATTATAAATAAACAATCTATTAAATTAACAGCTAGTTACTTCCTGAAATGATAAGTAATCCAAAATACATTTATTTTCAACAAAACAGAATCAAAGTAAATAGCAAATTAAAAATGTTAATTAGTGATATTGAAAAGAAGGATTATTAAAGGGTATATTTTTATCACAAATAATAATAAAGGATGAAAAATGAAGCAATCATAAATATAATTACCCAGAAGAAAAATTTATTCAAAGAAACAACGTAACTTTAATGAAATGATACAAATAGAGAAGTGCATCCTGATAATAAGATGTATAATCAAAACATGTAACAAAATTCAATAAAGTAAATATCCTATTCTTATCAATATTAAATCAGGATATTTACCAGGATCATCAAACTAGAGAGATACAAAATTTTCTTGTTAAACACTCCAAAACCCAAGTGGATTTGTCCAGATGAAATAAAATCAATCACAGATTTAGCTAAATCGAAGATTAAAGTAAACAAAAATATTAGGGATAAATAAATTAATGTAAGGAAATATTATTGTTATCAATATTCTTATTATTCTCATATGTTTATATAAACAATGGTTAAAGAAATCTGAGAAGCAACTACCAGGAGCCATTTGCAAAAATATCAACTACTGTAATCTCTTACACCAGACTAAGTGTCTAACACTATGCACATATATCCTAGCAAACAAAACAAATAATAACTAGAGTATATTCTTTTCAATATCTATTTACCAGAAAGCTTCCATTGATTCCACTACTGAGCAAATACTCAGCAGCATTCCTAGCAATAGGTCCATGGTACCATGAGTGTTTTTCTAAGGAATTCACAGGTGTCACATAATTACTCGGTACCCATCCAACTAATCCAGCACTCGAGTGAGCCTCACACCATTCGCCTGATTTGTTGTAACTCAGTATACGGACTTGCTCCCCTAAAAAAAGGTAAATGATATAGATAATACACTTGAAAGTACAATATTAATATATTAAAATATTAATATATAATCTATTATCACTTTTTCCAGTGTACCTTTCTTTAAACTCAATTGATTTTCTCCTCCAGCTTGAAAATCATATAAAGCTACAAAGAGTTGGGGATCATCCTCTTCGACTTGTGCCAGCAGATTTTCCTTAGAGGTCCATCGAATGTTTGCAGTATCGAGTGTATTCGAATTAGAATTATTGCTACATGTGTTCGAAGCAGAGACTGCTGTTGTGCTATTCAAAGGAGCCATCATCAGGGGAGGGGTACCTGAGGGGACAAATAAGAATAATAAATAAACAAATACATTATTTATATATCATTTATCTTGCCTGGTGGTGCGACACCGTCGGACCCAGCACCTGCCCCGTTTTGCCCCTCGCTACCTCCAACGACACCTGGGGAGCTGTTACTGTTGGCGCCTGCGGATGCTCCGGCGCCCCCTACAGTTGTCGCTGAGGGGTCTCCGGATAATAAGTCTCCAGAAGTGGCGTCCGGAATGTGCGGCAGTGGACGGGATTGTAAAAGGGCTTCTGAAAATATGAAAAAATATATATGATAAGATGGTTTGATAAGAATTGATCAATTATTATTATTTATATTTTTGAGGTTATGGACTTCAAGCGATATGCAATTTGAGATTATAAAGCCTAAAAAAACATAAAAATTTACTTAAAGTTCCATAATTTGACTATTCTCGAATGAGTTTGCTCTCTTATCTTATTACTTGCTTATCGTAAATGAGATGATAGAAAAAAATAAAATAAATAATTAAGGTAAGAGAGTAATCACCGCAATTATAATCCGATATACTTAATACGTTAAGTACATTATTATTATTATTATTATTGAAAAATGTTATTAATAATAATAAATACAAAATTATTTTAAAAAACAAATTACAAAGTAGAAACTAAAGACTACACAAAATAACTAATTCAACAAAAATATTCGAAATGGCTAACAAAAAAAACGTTATATGGCAAAACAACTTTTTTTTGAAATGCTATAAATAAAAAACTAAGAATATTTAAAAGTGCATACAATATTTCTGATTAATAATGGAAAATAATTTCATTCAAATGGCTGTCTAATTAAAATGGTTGTCTAATTAAAATGGCTGTCCAACTAAGATGGCTGTCTAACAAAAATGGTTAAAGAATTTTCTTTAGATAGGGTCGTGAGTTCGAATCCTGATCTCAAGCAGATCTGGACAACCTAATATCAAGCAGTAGATATCAATTTTAACGTGAAAATATAAACCAAACATAGAATTTTAATTAAAAATAGCCTATTTAGGGCACTGCGGTGTGAAATGGCAATGGAAAAAATGGAAAATTTTGATACTATTCTTCCCTAAATGAAGTTGGAGTTTAGGAAAGCTAACAGACCCCTGGCCTAGGATAGAACTACCCATTATTATTATATCATTATATATAATGTTTGTGTGTATGCAAAGTTCTATTTTTCTTATAAAAAGTTCTTTCGTCAGTAGAGTTTTAGTTTTTTGTCTAACAAAAATGGCTGTCTAACAAAAATAGCTGTCTAACGAAAATGGCTGTCTTAAAAAATGGCTGTCTAACAAAAAGGGCCGCCTAACTAAAAGGGCTGCCTAACTAAAATGGCCGTCTAACTAAAATGGCTGCCTAACTAAAATGGCTGACAAAAAACCTATATCATCTTATCAATATGTTTTTTTTTGTTATTTTAGAAATGCAAACAAAAGATTGAGAAGCGCAATTGCGGCGTAACAAAAATCAATCATTATAGTATTTTCTTTCTTTATTTAATTATTTTTCTTTCGTTTTAGTTTATTTATTATGTGTTTTACTTTATAATGATAATTGTTATCATCATAATATATCGATAATAATAATAATAATAATAAAATTAATAACACAGTAGACACTAACATCTTATCAATATTAATTTTTTTTATCTAATTTTAGCAATGCGGATAAAAGATTGAGCACCGTACACCGTGAACATTTGTTGAAGTACACAGTTTGTTTATTTAATTCATTTCCTTGTGTTTCAGTTTGTTATTTTAAGTGTATGTATGTTGGTGATAAAATTTGTTTTTCATGCATGTGCGTGTGTTGGTAATGAAATTTGTTTTTCTATGTATGTGTGTGTTGGTAATGAAATTTGTTTTTTTTATATGTGTATATGTTGGTAATAGAATTTATTTTTCTATGTGTGTATATATGTTGGTAATGGAATTTGATTTTTTTTATATGTGTATATGTTGGTAATAGATTTTGTTTTTCTATGTGTGCGTGAATGTTGGTAATGGAATTTGTTTTGTCATATGTGTGTATGTTGGTATTGGAATTTGTTTTTCGACGACATCCGTCATTCTTCCGGTAAAGTTGTCAACTGATTTCCGGTCGCCGAATAACGAAACAAAACGAAAGAAGGTCACGAAAGTACAATCGATATAAAAGGAAATCTAGAAATTGTGTTGTTAACTTCACAACGGAGAAGTTTATGTTTGCGCCAGAAAATTCGACTTGCTAATCTTATATTTTCTTGACGGTTCAAGTCATTATGAACGTTTTGAGACCAACAATTGTTCACGAAAGTACAATCGATATAGAAGGAAATCTAGAAATTGTGTTATTAACTTCACAACGTTTGCGCCAGAAAATCCGATTTGTTAATTTTATATTTTCTCGTCGTTTCAAGTCATTATGAACGGTTTGAGACCAATAATTGGAAAATATAGTTTGTAGGCCGAATTTTGACCCGTAAGAAATAGATATATAAATAAATAAATGAATAGAAGGTCACGTCCTACTTTTTCATTGAAAACTTTTGAATAAATGAAAGAAATGACATTTGATGCAAATTCAATTTTATCAAAACGTTGGATCATACGATGCTTTTTTGAATAGAGTCGTGAATTCAAACCCTGCTCTGGACAACTTGATATCAAGCAGTAGTGATTTCAATTTTAACGTCAAAATATAAAGCAAGCATAGGATTCCAATTGAAAATAACCTATTTCGGGCACTGCGGAGCAAAATGGCAATAGAAAATCTTTCATATTTTTTAACCCTAAAAGTATAAAAAAGTTTACGGACCTCTGCCTTAGGATAATACTGCTCATTTTTATTTTATCATTATATTATATATAATGTTTGTGTGTGTATGCAGAGTTTATTTTTCTCATGGGAAGTTTATTCGTCAGTAGAGTTTTATTTCTCTTTTCCAAATCTACAACCAAAATGCAGTTCTGACCATTCTTAAAGTGGTCTTTGTTTTCCCTCACAGTCCGTGTCTCTGATCCCTGTGGAGCATAATTTATTCTCCATTACAATTTGAAATTCCAACGGATCCACCAAGACAATAACTAATTAGTCGACAACAATTAAAACAATCGCCTCCATCGTTCATTATTATTATTATTATTAGTTTCTCTCTCGTCGAATGATTTCCTTTTCCGATGAACCATTTTCTTCTCTTCCGAACAACAATTACATTTGTTTAAAACACAATAACAAATTGTTTACAACAATAACAACAATTAACAAAGACATAGAAACGTATCATCATGAGAAGAGTATACTGAAATTTGATTCGAAAGAAAAAATTCTACGGACAAAGAAACTCAAATTAAAAAAAAAAAAAATTAGAAAAAAATAAATAGGAAATAAAATTATAACTTAAACAAACTTAATAGAATTGTACTGACGAGCAAAAAACCGTGAAAATCTAGGACAAAAAATCTAAATCCGGGACAAATATTGCATTTAGGAAAATCCGGGACACAAGGTGGAAATTCGGGTCAAGTATAGCTTTTAGAAAAACCCGGTACCAAAGGTGAAAATCCGGGACAAGTATTGATTTTAGAAAAACTCGGGACACAAGTTAGAAATCTGGTACAAGTATTACTTCTCGAAAAACCCGGAACACAAGGTGGAAATCCGGGACAAGTATTGCTTTTAGAAAAACCCGGGACACAAGGTGGAAATCCGGGACAAGTATTGCATTTACAAAAACCTGGGACACAAGGTGGAAATCCGGGACAAGTATTGATTTTAGAAAAACCCTGGACACAAGGTGGAACCCGAGACAAGTATTGCTTTTAGAAAAACCCGGGACACACGGTGAAAATCCGAGACAAATATTGCCTTTAGAAAAACCCGAGACAAAATCCGGGACAAGTATTGCTTTTAGAAAAACCCGGGACTCAAGGTTGAAACTCGGGACAAGTATTGCTTTTAGAAAAACTCGGGACACAAGGTGGAAATCCGAGACAAGTATTGCTTTTAGAAAACCCCGGGACACAAGGTGGAAATCCGGGACAAATATTGCTTTTGAAAAAACCTGGGACACAAGGTGGAAATCCGGAACAAGTATTGCTTTTAGCAAAACCCGGGACACAAGGTAAAAATCCAGGACAAGTATTGCTTTTAGAAAAACTCAGGACACAAGGTGAAAATCCGGGACAACTATTGCTTTTAGAAATCCCCGGGACACAAGGTGGAAATCCGGGAGAAGTATTGCTTTTAGAAAAACCTGGGACATAAGGTAGAAATCCAGGACATGTATTGCTTTTAGAAAAATCCGAGACGCAAGGTGAAAAATCGGGACGAATGGTCATCCCATTCAAAAAAAAATCTCTACATAATTTAATTGAAATGCTTTCCTATTTGAAGAAAAGAATGAATTATCGCAAGATAATTTCTTATCTTGTGAATATTATTATTCGATAAAATAAACAATACGCAAATTGCTATCGAATATTTAATTATCGATTACCGATATCGTCAACAATGCGGAATAAACAATTTCTAATATTTTCCTTTTACCAATTTCAATCAGTTACAAAACAATTGCGAAAATATTTTTGCGATAACTAAAACAAACAAAAAAATCGTATGATAATTCAATCCAATCAAAAATAAATTTCATGCAAACGCGTTTGCGAATATTTATTATCACTTTAGGTTGTTCGACTTGAAAGCTGCAAAATTTTATTTGAAATTTCCTTATTAATTTAGAAGAATGGCCATTTGTTTATCTCTAATAAAACATATTGCACTTTCTTCTTGCATTCTAAAACCTGCTGTTGACATTTCGAATGTCAAGTGAAGATCAGAAGATAGAGAAAGGAAGATGAGAAGAGATAAGGCGAACAATAGGAAGACAAAGAAAGGAAGATAAGAAGAGATAGAGCACACAGTGAGTAGACAAGGAAAGGAAGCTGAGGAAAGATAGAGCTACCAATGAGTAGACAAAGAAAGGAAGTTAAGGGGGCGTACATTTAGGGGGAGGGGGGGTTTGACAAAAAATCACGAAATATCACGTGGGGGAGAGAGGGGTATAGTAAGATATCACGTGTATTTATCTTTTAACAGTTTTTTTTTTTAAATCAAACATTTTCAAAAAAAATTATGTCATTCAAAAATTTTACAGTTTTTTCACATAACTAAATTTACACGTTATGTTTGGTGGGGGAGGGGGGTAGTAATTTTGAATATCACCATGTATCACCAAGGGGGAGGTTCCAAAAATCCTTAAAATA